CTCCTCCTCCACCTCCTCCTCCTCCTCCCAAAGGCTTGTGGATGCAGCACTGCCCAGAGAACTCCCGACAGATCTTCTCCACTGCTTCGCGAACCACCTGGTCCTTAAACTAGAGGGATGGAGGGGAGAACAGGATCTTCCATGTCTTAAGCGCATTTCTGACATGCCCTCCTTTTCATGAATCTGACAGCTTCTGAATGTCCAAAGAGCACCCTGGTAACTTTTCAATGAATGCTGCAACAGCAATTTTACTGCGTAGGTCTGACCTAGTAACATTTCTGCATCACTGTCAGCACAGTAGCACACTTAGATTTGTGTGAAGCAATTTGGGATGAGAAATTTTCCACATTTCAGCACCAATATTGGTCCAAAAACATCTGCAAAAAACAGTTCACACACAAACAAAACTGCTTGCTGTCACATTCTATAGAATAGGATAAGCCCACACATCTGATAGCCATTAAGCTATTTTAGGAGTCTGCGTGCATTTATGCACCCAACAACAACATTACATTTATTATTTAGATATAACTATAAATTATCCCTGAGACAGGATCAGTCAGAATGTAACAGCAAGGCACACTGGACACTTCATTTTAGGTAGATAAGATGTCACAAACAACGTCGCAATTTTTAAGCTTCAGTTGAACAATCTGTTACACAGCAGATTTAAATGTATTCTTTTGTATATTATTGCATTACCATGCACTATGTCACTTGATATACTGTCCAATCTTGCACATGACAAATATCGTACATGTACCGTAAACTCTCTCCATGACTGTCTGAATGAAGCCATGAGGAACAATAACATAAATGTGAACCGCCAGCACTTAAACAGATTGATGAAGCAGCAATGTTACATATTCCAGGTCTTAAAAAAAGGCCATCAAGTTCTTCTTACCTTTTCCATGTAAGATGTGAACCAGGCTGGAGGAGTCTTGTCTTCTTCCTTGGTCCCTTTTACTTCCTTCATAATTACCTAATCAACAAGAGAATATCCATGCAGTAAAAACTACATTTTCATATCCTCACTAAATCAGTGCCAGTGTAATTTCCAGAGGTGCCACACAGATGACTTTGTTCATATGTGTGATTTGAATGGAGCTTTAATTCTAAAAGCTCCTCCAGTTACCTTAAGTAATCTTATGCTGTGTTCACACCAGACGCGAGTAAAATCACTTGCGCAAACAATTTAAAGTCAATGTGAAGACGCGATTAGACGCGAGTAAACATCCCATGGTGCATGAATAACGTGACGCGAATGACGCAAATTGAGCAAATTATTTACGCGAATGACACGATTCTCGCCAGGTTTTTCTGTCTTGCCCCCCTTTGGAGGTAAAAAAGTTTGGGGCCCCCCCTCGCCTTAAATAGTCATGAAATTAGTCAGTTTAAATTTACTGAAAGTAAATATCATGAGCAGTCAAATAGTGCAACAACTTGCTCAGTGATAAGAAAAAGTAGCAGGGGAGGATAGCCTTCAATTATGCAGTGGTAGTCACCATATCAAGAGCAGTGGGGAGTATGAGATCCTCAGCTTTTGTATGTGGCTTCTTGCACTTGGCGATTCTGTTACAGGGCTCCAGACTAACTTTTCCAGTTATAGCACTGGTGCTACCAACTTTCTTTGTTGGTCGCACCAGCTAATGATTTGGTCGCTCTACTCCCTTGTTTTGGTTCAGCATTGCCACAGCTATTAATGCACCATGCATGATGACGAAGAGTTGTTTTTGCATAACTTAGTTATGTTGCAATGTCCTTCAGTGATACAAGATTTGATATTTGTAAAATGTTTTAACCTTAAAATATATTTATTTTGTCACCAAATCATCTTCTAATATCAGTCGTTTTTGCTGAAAATGCCCATGGCTAGATGGTGCATTTTACCGATGTTCCCTAAACGCCTCACATGCTGCTACAGTAGATGCTACCAGGCGTCTGCAGTGCAGCTCCTCTGACTGGTAAGCAACCAAACATTTGTTAGAAAACAGTGGAAAGCGCATTCTACACAAATTTGCCCAAGTTGAAAAGTTTTCTATTAGCAGAGTTTTTAGCAGAATGTTTTTTTTTTGTTTTTTTTTGAACGGACTTTTCTACGAGCTGAGCGTATTTTAAATGTGCACACTACTGGCAATCATGTTTATAGAAAAACTGTGATCGCTGCTAAAATGTGAATCCAGAGGGTCGCCACACACTTCGAGAAACACTAGCATAGAGCATGGCTGCAATCCAGATTGTCCGGCAGGCCAGCATCATCATTTTTGTCACGTTTTTACTCGTCAGTTGAAAATGAACAGAGATTTCGTTTTCATTTTTGTTGTCGGTACTTCTTAAATTTATGTTCTCATCACAAATTAACCACAGAAAAAAGGGTCGTCAACGAAAAGCTTTCGTTTAAGTTTTCGTTGACAAAATTAACACTGTTCTGCGTGTCTTACCATGGCCTGTTCTGGCACCACAGCTTGAACTTTGCGGCTGACCACCTGAGCCAGGGTGGGGCAATGCTGTGGTGGTCTGAAGCCCCTTTTGGGTTCTGTTCCGCTGGCCTTGGTTGTGGGGACCCTTGTTGACTGTCCTCGAATCTCATACACATTCATGTGCAGTCTGTTCCCCTGTCTGGCTGCACTCTGGGAAACAAGTTAATAGGTTGTCAATGTCTAAAAAAGCCTCTTTTTTTTCTATTGATAACATTTTGTTGGAGAGGATAATTGCTGTATTTTCCACAATAGGACATTAAAACAAAAGAAAACGGGCCTTTTTAAGAAACAACTTTGACATGTTTTTGACTTCATTCTCACTAAGTTTACTATATAATGTGTACATAGAGTCTGGGGTCTTAACTGAACTCATCAGCTAGTTGTAGGGATGAGACATCCTATTATGCTCCCTTAAAGACTACATGGACTTGTGAAGATCTAGGAGGAGACACAGCATGTGGGACAGAAATTGCTGGCATGCAAATGTATATAAAATCCATCCACCCCCTTACCCTCCTCCTCTCCCCAAATGACATATTTTGGTGTTGTCCTTTGTACATCTAAAGTCTTTCTTTTTATGTATGATTACACAAAGAAATCTTAACAAACATCCTAAATTTGATTTGAAAATAACCAAACCCTTGGTAGCAGCTCCTCACTTACTAAGTCTGGTTTGATAAACAGATAAACTATTTCACCTCTCATCAAGTGTCAAAATTGGCATTTTATGACACATTAGCATTGCCACATATTGTGAGCTGAAATATAGTGTGCTGTGGAGTACTTTTGCCGTACGAGCATAAATGTGAGTAGCAACAAAACCTTAAATCAGCTTACCTTCAGTGCCTCCTCATACTCCACTGAAATAAAAACAGATGTATTTTTACCATAAAATTAAGATGCAATAGCTTTATTTATTTATTTATTTATTTTAGGTTTGTTTAGCCTTTTATGATTTATGTTTACTTACCTTGACTGTTAATGGACACCTAGAGGGAAGGGGAAGGAGAAGACGTAAATATGAAGTGTATGTTTGAAATACACTTTCAGAAATTAATGGGTCACTCCACCAATTTTAAACAGGGTCAGTTTCATTGAAAAAAACATAGTGTGGGGAGGCATTTCTTTGGAGGGCCACACAGCCCTCCATGGGCTTGCCAGAGGTACCTCGACTGCCATTAGGTACTGGGATGAAATCCTCAGACCCATGTGACACCATATGCTGGTGCAGTGGGCCCTGGGTTCCTTCTGATGCATAACAATGCTAGGCCTCATGTGGCTGAAGTGTGTCAGCAGTTCCTACATGATGAAGGCACTGATGCTATGGACTGGCCTACCCATTCCCCAGACCTGAATCCAATTGAGCACAACTGGGACTTCATGTCTCATTCCATCCACCAACACCACGTTGCACCACAGACTGTCCAGGAGTTGACTGATGCTTTAATCCAGGTCTGGGACGACATCCCTCAGGAGAACATCTGCTACCTCATCAGGAGCATGCTCAGGCATTGTTGGGAGGTTATACAGGCACACAGACGCCACACACATGACTGAACCTCATTTTGACTTGTCTTGAGGAATTTCCACTTAAGTTGGATCTACCTGTCATGTGACTTTCCACTTATATTTTGCAGGTCGGGCTAGCTGTGGGGGAAAAGGGCGGTCACAGCAGCGTGAAATCGGCAGCCAGGATGAACAGCATTGTGGTGACTTCCCTGGACCAGGTGGAGAAGGCCAACTCCGTTGTAGAGACAGGAATCACCATGTTGGACAGGTTCGTCCTGGTGCAGTCTCTGTCTCAGCTGGCTGTCCAGGTCGTCCTGTCCAATGTCCGTCCTTTTGTGTCAGATGAGTTTCTGACCAAGGAGCTTTCCAGATATGGGAAGGTGGTGTCTCCCATCAAAGAGATTCTGTCTGGATGTAAGTCTCCGCTGTTGAAACACGTGGTGTCTCATAGAAGACAAGTCTTTATGATACTCAATAACCGGAGTGAGGAACTCAGCCTCAGCTTCCGTGTTCGAGTACATTATGACTACGTGGTTTTTGCCAGCTCAGCTGGCATGAAATGTTTTGGCTGTGGGAGGAGGGACACACAGTGAAATCTTGTCCACAGCAGGTTGAGCCGGCTCCGCCAGGCTCGACGGAGTGGTGCCGAGGCCACCGCTGCCCCGGCAGTGCCTGGGCGTGTCTGGTGAAGCCAAGGAAGAGGGGTAAAGAATGGCTGAGAGTGAATGCAGCGTGAATGACAAAAATGTAAATAGTACTGGTGAGGAGTTTATTTCTGTTATAAACCCTGCTGTTTTAACCCTCAGGGGATGCTTTAATTTACTACCCTTTGAGGATATTAGAGGACAAACATGTCCTCACCCAAAAACTGCTATAAAAACAACAGAATGATATTTTTTTCTACTTTTTCTGCTCAAAGTTTTCAATCAACTTCTGCTCTAATCCAAAATACCAAACATTCAATTATTTTTATTTATTTAACCCTTCGAATGCCATTTTGATTACATGATGTCACAGCATTAATGAAAAAAACACACATTAAATGAGTTATTTTCCAAATCATAAATGTTGGAGGGCTGAAACTTTTTTTTTCAAAGATTAGGCCTAAATATGTGTAAAATTAGTAATAGAATTGATTTTGATGCATTGTTGTTTTTTTTGTAGTGGCAGATTCTTAATGTACTACCCTCAATGTCCCATTGACTCCCATTATAATCACAATTTTTAAACACCCAGTCATTACACAATATAATCATGCAAATTCTAATTTCAGGGTTTCATTTTGGAGAAAAATAGTTTTAAAAAATTATTTTTTTTCTGTTTACCATGAGATGGGACAATTTTTCCATTGTAAGTCTATGCATGTTCTGTATGCATGTTCTGTGTGTGTGTGTGTCTGCGTGTGTATGTCCGCGTGCATGTGAGCATGTGTGCAAGCATGTGTGTGTGAGTGTGCGTGCATGCGTGTGTGTGCGTGTGTGTGTAGGTGTGTGTGTGTGTGTGTGTGCTAGTTCTCTGAAGTGAGAGACTGAAAGAGTTGTGGATGTCGTTCATAGTAGCTGGAAAGATGGCACATCCATTATGAGTATCCCAGAGAGTAGATTCGCCCTTTGACTTATAAACCCCAGCCAAAATCAGGAGACAGATGTAGGCCCGCACATCTGTCATATCAACATCACTCCAGTTACCCACTGAGCGCCTTCCATTTAGATTTGTCATACTAACAATAATGCTGCAAGGTGGCTTGGTGGCACCGTTGCCTCGCAGCAAAAAGGTCACTGGTTCGCGTCCCGTTAGGACGCCCGGGATTTTCCTGCGTGGAGTCTCCATGTTCTCCCCATGCAGTGTGGGTTCTCTCCGGGTTCTCCAGCTTCCTCCCACAGTCAACAAAACATGTGAGGTTAATTGGTGATTGTAAATTGTCCGTAGGTGTGAATGTGAGTGTGCTTGGTTGTCTGTCTCTAAGTGTAGCCCTGTGATAGACTGGTTACCTGTCCAGGTGAACCTGCCTTCACCCTGAGTCAGCTGGGATAGACTCCAGCCCCCCACGACCCTAGTGAGGATTAAAGTGTAGAGATAATGGATGGATGGATACTAACAATAATGTCAATCATTTCTGCCGTCAAAAATAAGTCAAAGGAGGATTCCACATTGTGAATACGTGAAGTAGCATAACGTGTGGGCCCTGGCACCAAACCTCGGGCATCAGGTACAAAGTGGGCGGTCTCGCTGTTAGTCTGAGACCAGGTTTGCCCATTTTTGGAAACCCACTTATAGGCACGAGGAGCACGATCCTCAGTGTCCTCTCAGTCTCAGGGGAAGGATCAGAAGAGGAAGCAGGACCATCGGACTCGACCGCAAACTCCACATCCGATTCCTCTTCTGAGGCCGTTTCTGTCTCAGATGACGAATCCTGCAGCTCACTGGAAGGTCCAGGCTGCATGACCATATCTAAAGCTTGCTCTACAGAGAAGTGGTTCTTCATGTTGCATGTTGTTCATCAGGGTAATGAAATGATCAGGCAGCCAAGTGACATTTATAACTTTGGTTCTGACAGGACAGTAACCAAAACAATGCCCTGGGGACATTTGTACAAACCCTTATTCCACTTGCATGAATGCAATTGCTGTATAATATTTTCTAAGCTCCATTTTGAAAATAGGCCTTGACTTTATTGCTTTAGGAGTACCCCCAGAGAGAGTAACAGTAGGCTATGCTAGGTTACACAAACAGGAAGGTAAAATTCCTTTTCCCCTTTTATTTTATTTACTTTTTCGTACTTAGGTTTTTGTTTTTTGTCCTTCCAATTCATTTTATTTATTTTATTTTATTTTTTGTTCGTTTTCTCCTTTCCCTTCCACTAACTCCCTTCCTGTGGCTACATTAGGGTTAGCCTGAGGTTTTTAGAGTTTGTCTTCACTTACTTTCACTTGTTGTTCAACATGTTTGTTTTTTCACTTTTGCGAAGTCATGTTTGTACTGCTATAATTTATTATGATTAATTACACAGACATTTGATTGCTAATTTCAGCCGTGTACCATCTTTTCATCTCTCTGTGATATGACAGACACATCAAATGTTAAAGGACTGACGTTTACTAGCTGGAACATTATGAACTAACTACAATCACTTCATTCAGATATTGTCTTCCTACAAGAGACATATTTAAGAAAGAGCGCCTGCTCTCTCTGTGGATGTCTCTGGATCTGGAGCTCCTGAATCACAGCTGCTGGCCTCACCTTCTGTATCCTGCTGCCCCCACCATGATGCCTCCTGTTACAAAAGGACAATAAATTCTAATAACTTGTTTAACTGTAAACTAAATTATATAATTCATCCCACTCTCACCCAACCGGTCGAGGCAGATGGCCATCCCTCCCTGAGCCTGGTTCTGTCGGAGGTTTCTTTTCCCCTGTGGGGGTTTTCGGTTCCTTCCCACTGTTGCGGACTGCTTGCGGACTGCTGAAGCTTATAGGGAATCCAAATGTTTTGGATTGTTGGGTGTTTCTGTCTCAGCCTTTGTGAAGCGCTATGAGATGACTGTTGTTGTAAATATGCGCTATACAAATAAAATTGAATTGAATTGAATTGAAAATAAATTTCATAATCGATTGAAAGTAAAATGGGTAACGGATGTATTTCACTCGACTTTCTCTGCAAAAGCAAGAGGTACAGCCATTTTAGTGAGGAAAGGGGTACCTTTTATTCACAACTCCACAATAGCTGACAAAGACGCTGTTATGTCATTGTTTCTGGGGAGATATACAGCACATCATTAACCCTTGTCAATTTATATGCCCCTAATGTGGATAGTCCATCATTCTTAAAGAAAGTTTTTAGTTTAATCCCCAATTTATCACAGACAATGTTAATTATTGGTGGAGATTTCAATACACCTTTTGACCCATTTCTTGATAGATCATCAACTCGTAAAATTCCCCAAAGTAATGCGAGCATATTCCTGAAGACATATATTAAAAATATGAACTTAATCGACATATGGCGTTTTACTAATCCATCTAACAGGGACTATTCCTTTTTTTCCACCAGTTTATAATTCCTATTGTAGAATTGATTACTTTCTCATTGATGCTTGACTGGCCCCACTTACAACAGGTATAAAATATACTATATCAATTTCAGATCACAGCCCACTAACTTTTTGTTTACATTTGGAAGATATGGACCCCCAAGCAGATCTTGGAGATTAAATCTTCAACTATTAACGGAAAAGGAGATTTGTGAATTTATAGAGGCTCAAATAAAGTTGTACTTCGAAACAAATGATACCCCAGATATCCCTTCGTGCACACTTTGAGAGGCTTTTAAAGCCTATCTGAGAGGATGTATAATCTCATATGAAATGAATGAACCAAAAACAAAAGAGAGAAAACTCAAATCAAAAAACTTGAAGAACAGATAAAGCAATTAGACAGAGAAAATGCATCAAACCCTACCCGTGATCTACATAGAAAAATA